GGGAGAAATAATCATAGAAAATGGAAGAAAAGGCACTGTCATATTATTAGTCCTTAAGAAAGACTTGGTTGTGTCTGTGCTCTATGGGAAGTATGTTGTCTTGAGTATTTTTAGTTATGAGGAGAAATACATAGTTTACCAGAGTAAATTCTGGTTCTAATCTCTTACATATATACCTGATCATCAGGCTTTTGTGTTTTGGTGGCTTTCTGTAAATATTTTGCAATGCTGTTTTTTAGTTGGAGAAATTTCTTGGTTCGTACACTGTCATAAAGGTGGACAGGCAAGATTGTTTGCATATGTGGCATGCAAACGGTTTGTATCCTGCTTATTCGGCAGTCACATTAGTGGCTTCTTGCTGGCAGGACAAATACTATTGTCTTATGAGAGAATAAATATTTGATGTAATACAACCCTTTTTGTGATTGGGTGTCTGCATTATTAATTTATATTTAGAAAGAGTATGAGGTCTTGTTTCCCGATTAATAGTGGAAACTAGGTAATGATAATGACCTTTAGTAAGTAATCCCTAAAGAATCTGGGAAAGAGGTATTTGTTTTTGCAATGTTCCCCAACTTGGTGACCTCTAAATTAAGTTCATACTCCTAATTTTTGGTTAGGGTAGTTGACGGGATACAGAGGTGAAATCCAATACATTTGATATTCATGAGGTTAGGAAGTGATATGTTATTGATTCCATTTGAGAGAGAAGATATAGTCCATGAATTTATCTTGTCTGTCTTTCATCCTTTTGTACTTCAGGCTTGCCTACAAGCCCTCAAAAATTTTGGCATTTGCAAAGCAAAAAATGAGGGGAAAGACTGACTTTGTTCAGAAGATTAGGCTTAAAAGGCAGTTGTAATAACAGCCCAGATTAAGGGAAGGAGCACTGACTCAATCTAGTGCTCACTAATTTATTACTTTGGCAAGGGTTTTCTTAACATTTCACCTACTTCCAAGCTAGGAAATCCTTTATGGACCCTCCTTTGTGTATCTAACATTGTCTTTAGTTTCTCTTTATCCACTGACAATAAACATGTTCTTTTAAATTGGGGAAAATTATTTTGAAGTTACAAGGCATCCAAATCCTATTGATAGATGCATGAAGCAGGAATGGATGGAATTTGCTATAGCATGAATATTTTGTACAATTGGAAGATTAACAGCTTCTGAAAGTTAAATTATTTATATTGGCTAGTGCTTTTTGGTGCTTCTTTGAAGGGTAATGAATGAAGATTAAAGTGTCCTGAAAAACAGATATGTACAACATCTTCCTGGGAATTTAATGGTTGGAGAATTCTGGAATCTTGCATTTCTTCTTTGGATCACACTGAGCCAGCCATTCTAAGGGCAGAATGGCTGGCTCAGGGCATGGCCATGTCTGAAACACTACAAACCACTTTCAGTTTAGAGGATTAATTTCTAGAAAACCTCCAGACAATCCCCAGAATGGATGGATGAATGTGGTTTGAAGGAAAAATGGAATGTTCCGCAGTTATGGAAGTTATATTCCTATGATGAATGGAGGATGGAACTGCCAATCAAAGGATGGCAACGTGGGGCATCTCTCACTTATATTCTGTTAGGAAGAGGGATTTGGGAGGTATAGGCAGAAGAACAGATCTGAAGTAGGCTCAGAATCAAGCCTGAAAATATTTTCCCCTCTTGAGGAGACAGGGTTAGGAATATTTTTTAGCATCTTAGTGGCCCAAGATTGTTGGGAAATAGCAGAAGTAAGAGAATCTTTAAAAACTATGTTTTAGTTATTTAATAAAAGTCAATGTTCTCCTTTGTTTCTATAATAACCGAGTGTCTGTAATATCCTTTATCTTCCCCATGTTCCACCTAAATATTACCTTAGAGACTTTAAAGAATTTCTAAATCAGAAAAGGGGTTTAGTGGTAGCAGATGAGCAAAAAGATAATAACAGCAAGGAGGGTACATAACAACCACTTGGAAAGCACAAGATGCTCCCCTTTGGTGTCACTAATCAAATTTTTGTGACTTTATTCACATGGCATTCTTCCAATGGTTGATTTTCTCTATCCCAAGGTCTGAACTCATGCCACATACTGAAGCATAAACTCACAGCAGGGACTGTGTGCACACAGCTTGCTTGACTTCACTGTGGTAAATTGACTCAGCATATTGTGTAAATAAAGCATTAATGTAAAGGTATAAAGCAAAATATCACTAGCCAGCAGAGGATTAATGTCATGATTCTAAAACAGTGAGGTTGGTGGGGGGAGGGTCATATCAGTATCTTTGGGAGTATGTGAAGAAGAAATGTGAGGTGGTTTTCCAAGGAACAGGGAGAAAGGGGGAAATTAAAAAAAGAAAAGAAAAACTGAAGCCCATAGCCAGGTTTGAAAAATCCTGGTAGTCCACTCTCCTTGCCGCTGTCTAGGAAATACATTTTATAGGCAGCTGCTTCTTCCAATGAGGTGGAAAATTGCAGGTCAGAAGCAAGCACAACTTCCACTCCCAACTTGTTCAGATCTTTATTTTATTTATTTATATTTTGAATTTAGACACCGCCTATCTCACTATCTTGAGGCAAGAATAGGCAGATTCTGTGGGTCTGGCTGTGAGTTTGGCCAAGGGAGGTATCAGTCAGCAAAGAGGGAGAAAGTCTTCAGTACAGTCTTTTATTTTCTCTCCTAACTGGCTTGCTCCAATCTCTAGTAATTCTAGCCCAGCACAAAAAATAAAACTATGTGTACTGCACAAAAAAACCTCTGGAACTTCTTTCTTAGAGAAACCTTAATATGATGGCAAAAAAGCAGAGTTGGGGTGTATGTGTGCTTGTACAGATGGATTGTTTTATTGCAAAAGATAGAATCCAAGTTGTTCAGTGTGCTATATCTCTAAAGGCATAGAACAATGATGTCACGTGATCCTGTCCATTTGAACCACATTTGAGTCAAAGTCATATAAATATTAAAAAACCGATGGTTTATTTTGATGCAAGGAACAATTCTCTGAAGCTGAAGAAAATAGTATTGAAGCATTTCAAAATCTGCAATTTTGTGAAAACTTCATATGAAATACCTCTTCTAATTGCAGCTTTGAAGAACCCTCATGAAGTCTGAGAAGGAATTTTGGAAAATGAGTCTACAGTCAACTGGCAACAGATGATGTAGCTAAATATAACTGACCATTGCAATATTTTGCTATTTGTTTTGATTAACTGACCTTTGAATAAATTTATTCAACTATTTGTGCAATATGTAGATAGAGAACGTGGGAAAAAAAATGCTGTTTTCTCAAGCTTTGGAGTCTATCACTAAAGCTCCCAAGAGTTTGAAACTCTAGTAACTGCTCAAAGCAAATTTGCTGAACAAGAAGAAATCAGTCAGAATTAGCATTGAAGAAGCTTGAGCAATGCTGGTTTCACAATCAGATTTTTAAAACAACAATGCTTGTTTGGTTATGAGATATATTTTATCTTTCACCATCAGGCATTAACTTCAAAAATTCTGCCCAGTTATCTGCTAGATTTGAGCTTTGTGATCAAGATTGGTTTGGCTCCTTGACTGTTGTTTTATAGTATATTGTTTGTATTATTTTTAAATGTAAAAGATGGGTAGCTACATAAATTGAAGAAAAAGGTCTGAAAGCAGATCATAAAGCAGGCCTATTCTACAATGAGGTTTGACTGTTGTTAAAGGAAAATACATTTGAAGAATTTATAAACTTGAGGAATCTGAAGAAGGAAATCTATCATGGAAAATATTAACCGTGAAACTTTAAAAAATGAAAGGTTTCACCTAAGATTGGTACATCTTTGAATATTTGAAAACTTAAAGACACTGTGAATTTGAAGCTTCAAAGGAAGAACACTGCTATCATTGCTCCTTATAATATAATGCATACATTTATACTGAACACCAGCTATTTATACACCGTTGAAATTAAAAGGATTTCTTTGACTTGAGGCTTTCTCTTGGAAAGGTTCTTGAAAATGATCTCAGTGAAAAAAATGACATTCATCTAATCAGTCTACAAGATGAATCTAAGTTATAGTTGCCAGATACAATGGCTGAAAATGTCATTTATGAGAATTTTACTAATGTTCAGCTTTTTCCATGGAAAATCCAAAATAAATTTTGAAACGTAAGTTTGCTTCTGTTGCCAAATTTAACTTCCAGCAAATGAGTGTGCAGAATCATATGTTATCATAGCTTCCTCTACATCATCTCATTTTTCTTGTGATACTACTAGTGATTTTTTTCTTCATTAGCTGGAAGTGACCAATTTCTCCAGGACCCAGAATCTGCTTGTGGCAAATGAGCAGCCTCAATGCTCAAGTGATGACAGCTGAAACAAATCATATAAATTTAATTATTGAAATAAACCATTGTACATTTAGAAAATGTTTTAGGTTTGCAGTATTTGATTTTGAAATTTCAAATTAAAATATTGATGGAAGCAGGTTTGAAGGGTTTAAAGTTTATCAAACAGGACATAGTTTTAGTTTACTTTAGTCTACTTTAGACTACATTCAAGATGTAGTCTAAAGTAGTTGGGGAAAGTGACTACCTGGCTTTGTCCAAAATTTAGGAAGTGCTGCCCACTATCTGAAAATTGCTGCTTGTAGAGTTCTTGGTGGTCTGCTGTTAGAGCTGAATTAACGTGTGTTTTCAACAGTCTCCGGGGGCAGTGGGCGGGAAATTAGAAAATTTTTTTTTTCCCTACTCAAATTCGAGAAGGATGAGAAATTCAGGGAGCCTCCTTGGGCAGACACAGGAACCGGCGGGCTCCTAGACAATAAAGGTGAAATAACCCCCAAAGCAACAAACAATTCCTCTACCCAAGTCGTCATAAATCTATATAGTATATGGAATTTCTCCGTCCCATCCCCAAAATGGCGATTCATGCAATGGAAACAGTGTATGTATATGTGGCGACAACCAGGGCTTTAAATAAGAGGCGTACAGAACGACTACTGTTGCAAAAAAAATTTTTCCCCTGTCTCGTGCTACAATTTAGGTACACGCTGCGAGGGCAAATGGCATTTACTTAAGCGTCTCGCGATCTGTTTGACAAACAGGCTTAGCTCTTTCCGAGACGAAGCTGGCGGCTCTTAAAAGAGCCTTTGGGTGTCGTGTTTTTTCCGATAGGCCGCCCGTGTCAGGATCTACGCGGACCTAGGCTCTCTCCCCGCGGATGCGCCGCGCCAGCTGGATGTCCTTTGGCATGATGGTCACTCTCTTGGCGTGAATCGCGCACAGGTTCGTGTCCTCGAACAGCCCCACCAGGTACGCTTCGCTCGCCTCCTGCAGCGCCATCACGGCCGAGCTCTGGAAGCGCAGGTCCGTCTTGAAGTCCTGCGCGATTTCACGCACCAGCCGCTGGAAGGGCAGCTTGCGAATCAGCAGCTCGGTGGACTTCTGGTAGCGGCGGATCTCTCGCAGGGCGACCGTGCCCGGGCGGTAGCGGTGAGGCTTCTTCACGCCGCCGGTAGCAGGGGCGCTCTTGCGGGCCGCCTTGGTCGCCAGCTGCTTGCGCGGCGCTTTGCCGCCGGTCGACTTACGCGCCGTCTGCTTCGTCCGGGCCATCTCCCC